TACTGAGGGCTAATAGGCTTTGTAGGCTTTGGCTGAAGATCTCAACAGGGCAGTGTCAGGTTTGAATCCATGGGCCTTGCTTGTTTTCCTGATCCACCTCTTGTTTGTTGACCAGCTGCAGCTTGGTTGGCCACTGGGGACATTAGCCAGCTTCCGGGAAGATCCTGACCGGCTTTTGCATAGGAAGTCCATGTGAGGCTTCTGGTTTTTTTTTAAAATGATATTTATTAAAGGTTTAACAGTTACAGAAAAAAGAAAAAAGACAATAAAAAGTTACAATACTTCAAAAATAAAAAACACAATAAAAAAACAGTACAACAAAACAATAAGAAAAACAAAAACATTTAAAAACAAAAACATTTAAAAACACATCCAGTATTTCCATATCTTTATCTTTCATTTACTTGTTTCATCGACCTCCTCACACCTCCCCTTTTTGTATTCTAATTCAAATAGCTATTTCAGCAAATCCTTCCCATCTTTCTCAGTTTTTGTTCTAAAATTTATCTTAACACAATTTAGCCTTAAATTTTACACTTTGACCCATTAATAATCCATTTTTACTTAGTTCTTTATAACCTTTCTACTAAAACCATGTAACTTCATTCCAGCATCCTTCTAGCATTCCTTAATTTTACAATGTTTCTGTAAATATACTTTAATTTTTTCCAATCTTCTTCCACCGACTCCCTCCCTGGTCTCGGATTCTGCCAGTCATTTCCGCCAATTCCATGTAATCCATCAGCTTCATCTGCCATTCTTCCTGAGTGGGTAGATCTTGTGTCTTCCAATGCTTTGCGATGAGTATTCTTGCTGCTGTTGTAGCATACATAAAGAAAGTTCTATCCTTCTTTGGCACCAATTGGCTGACCATGCCCAGGAGAAAGGCCTCTGGTTTCTTCAGGAAGGTATATTTAAATACCTTTTTCATTTCATTATAAATCATCTCCCAGAAGTTCTTAATCCTTGGGCATGTCCACCAAAGGTGAAGAGGCTTCTGGTTTATGACTTCATGTTAGTCTTTGTTTGGCTACCCCTCTGATGTTTTGCTTACCCTCTGATACGCTTACCTGACTTACTTGATTGCCTTCTTGCTCATTCTTGGGGATTCAGGACCATTCCTGAAGAGTGTTTCAAGTTCTAGTCAAGGCTTGTTTTCCCCCTGAAAATTTATAGGACTTTATTTTACAAGCACTATCAGATGTCCTTGGGTTGATTTTATGTGAATTCTGCGCTCACATTATGGGGGATCCAGAGGCTGTCCAGCCCCATTAGCCACTGTTTTCAGAAGGGGACATAATCAATGCTATTCTTCCAGAAAAAGAGGTGCCAGAACTCACCATGAACACCTCCCTTGAAGTTCTCTTATAATGGCAATGGTGCCCACCTGAGAGGTGCCACAACTGAGTTTTGGTGAATTCTGGTTGGGGGGAAAAAGCCCTGGACATAATGTATCTAAAAATGGAGTGAGTCAGGGACTGGGATTTGTAGATTTCATATAGGAGTCCCCAAAGAAAGCACTATGTGGATTTGCTTTGGACTTCATTTCTAGGAACTAACTCTGTTCCATAGCTGTGGAGCTAAGTCCATGAGCAATCCCATCACCCACTGCATAGTGGGCTAAATGAACCTTAGGTCGACCCAGCATGGCAACTCTTATATTCTTAATTTCATGAGGTTAGGATGTGTGTGGCTATCAGTCAAGACACCAACGCTACTGACCATCACATTTCGTGGTAGCAAATTCCATAAATTAATTATGCATTGTGTGAAGAAATACTTATCTGCTCTGGATCTATAGCTGATCAATTTCATTGGAAGACCGCTAAGGTCTGGTATTTTGGGAAAGGGAGTAGGAGTTCTTTCCTGACCAAGCATAATTTTATAAGGTTCTATTAAGCATCCCTTCAATTTTGTGCTGTGGGGAACCCAACTAAAATCTTCCAGTGTTCTAGTCTTTCTTTGTGTGGAAAGTGCTCTGATTTCTTGATCATTTTTGTAGCCTTTTTTGGTAACTTTTCCAGCTTTGATTTTCCCCTCTTCTTAATTTCCCAAAATTTCAGTACATATAAATTTTAGTAACCTATCTAAAACATCTAGACTTCCCCCCAATGGTTTCCCAGTTCCTCCTTGTTATGCTGCATATCCTCTTTAACCACCCTCTTTCACTCTACTTAATATCCTAATTACTGCTGCTCATAGTTCAGATCCTATTTGTAAATTTATCTGACTGTTACACCTCTTCAAGTACTCTACAAAGGGTTTCCACTCCTCCCTTAGCAGTGCCTCCTCTTGATCCCTAATTTTTGTTGTCATACCCTCCAACTCCACATATTCTATCAGTTTATTTTGCCACTCCTCTTTAGTTGAGATTTCATGGTTTTTCCACCTTTGTGCATAGATTACTCTTGCTGCTGTTGTCACATTCAGAAAAGAGATTAAGTGCCTTCTTAGGGATGTTGGATTTTGTTATTCCTAAGAGGAAGACCTCTGTTTTGGCAGGAAAATTGTCATCTTTATAATCTTTTTTACTTCTCCATAGATCATTTCCCAGTATCATTTGGCTTTTTTTGCATGTCTACCACATCAAAGGGACGCGGGTAGCGCTGTGGGTTAAACCACAGAGCCTAGGACTTGCCGATCAGAAGGTCAGCGGTTCAAATCCCCATGACGGGGTGAGCTCCCGTTGCTCGGTCCCTGCTCCTGCCAACCTAGCAGTTCAAAAGCACGACAAAGTGCAAGTAGATAAATAGGTACTGCTCCGGCGGGAAGGTAAATGGCATTTCCATGCGCTGCTCTGGTTTCGCCAGAAGTGGCTTAGTCATGCTGGCCACATGACCCGGAAGCTGTATGCCGGCTCCCTTGGCCAATAAAGCGAGATGAGCGCCGCAACCACAGAGGTGGCCACGACTGGACCTAATGGTCAGGGGTCCCTTTACCCTTTACCTTACCACATCAAAGCTGTAAAAAAAAAGTGGACATGCAGCTTTGATTTCTTCTTTTGAGAGGAGAAAGCAATGATTTCTGGGGTGCCAATGAAATAAGAATGTATTCTGAGGATTATGCCCCAGCATTCCTTGAAATATCTCAAAGAACTGTGGGGTGCACTTTTTCTAAAAGAAGGCAATGCGGCTGTTTCAGGTGCCTTGCTTTTAGTAAACCACTTTAGTTTGAGTAAGGGGTCTATATTTTTTGTTAAATATGTAGTAAATTGTTGGACTAGCCTTGACTTACTTAAGGAGAATCAGACTCACAACTGCGCATTTGTTTTCTTGCGGTGTCAACTTGCCGGTCCCTTGTTTGTGGCATATAAAAAAGCCTAACCACAAGGCTTTTAGAATTTTTGTTGGGTGTGTGTCTGTGTTTTCTTCTTGCCTTTTCCCTCCATGCCTAGTGGTCTTAGCAGTTATTTTTCACTGGTTTTCAGTGACATGTTTCTGAAAGTATTGGCAGGGCTCTGTCACTGTGCACAGGTATAATTGAAACTTGTTTTCTCCAAGGAATCACTCAGCTGTTTGGTTTATTTGTTTACTGACATTGACAGAGATCTTAATGGCTTTTTAAACCCAATTTGTGCATCGCTGAATATCCTCCAAAGAGGAAGATCTGATTAAATTTATCGGTGGAATGAAGTCTCCTCTCTGCAGAGCTGTTGGCTGCATTGTGAAAGTCCGCACCCAAGTGAAGCATTCTGGGCTCAGAAACCCCATGCAGGCAGCTCCTTGTCCTACCAACCTGTTTGTCTAAATGAAGAAGATGCAAAGTTTCAGGAAGATACTTTTGTCTCGCCATGGGTTTCTATACCTCCTTGAGTTCCATGGAGGAAAGGAATAATAAATCAATTGTTCCCTTCTTCTTTGCTAATGATTCATGTCTGGACCAAATTTCATTAATATATTGCTGGGGTTTGCCAAAATTTAATTGATGTCTCATTTGCGGACATTGTAAAAGGATGTTTTCAGGAATTTTATTGACTTTGCTGTTTACCTTCCAATTAACATTTGCGTGATGAAAACTCAGACGCAGGCAGACATTTTAAAAATAGCTTCAGTATAAAGTTATTTCCATGGCTGCACAGTTTTGTTAACCGTTCTTTCCATGGTGAATGTGACATTCGCCCTGTAGCAGGATGATGAGGAGAGCCTGTTCTACACCTCCTACTCCTGGTGGAATGCTCTGTCTCAAGAGACCAGGGCCCTGTGGTACTTGACATCTTTCCGCAGGGCCTGCAAGACGGAGCTGTTCCGCCAGGCCTTTGGCCGGGGTCCAGTCTGCCTCCCCCTCTCTCCTTATAAGAACTTGCATGAAAGTGGCCCCCCAACTTTTCTCATAGGCTTATATAAGATCAGTATAAACAGTTAGGCCTGGTGAGCATTTAAGGTCCCCATCCCTAATTTGCGGGTTGCCATCTGATTAGAGTTCACTTTGATTCTGATTTGATTTCAGGATGTATTTTAATTGATTGCTTGATTTTATGGTAATATGTTATATATTTGATGTTAGCTGCTCTGAGCTCAGTTTTGGCCGGGGAGGGCTGGGTATAAATAAAATCTATTATTATTATTATTATTATTATTATTATTATTATTATTATTATTATTATGGATGTTTCCAGATGGCCTTTTTATTGATACCTCCTCCTCCCAGTCTGCTCCCTGTTCTCCTTCTGACCACTCATTGCCCTCCCCCCCCAATCCCTGGGCTCTGAGGCGGCTTCCCTTGGGAGTTCCCACCCCTCCTCTACATCCAGCCCGTCTATGACATGTACAGAACAGAGCAGTGGACCCCCTCTTGTGAAACAATCCAATTCCTGTTTTGCCAACATGCTATTGTGAATGGACAACTTTGCGCAAGCAAAGGGACTGTGTGAATCTGCTTTCCATCACTGATCCCAGAACCCAAACTGTGCAATTTAGGCTAGCATAACCAAACACTCATCATAGTATAAATGGGGACACATTATACTTGCGTTCATTTGTTTTCTCCTTTTCGGTTTGCAGTGCCTACGACAAGAATCCTGGCTACTGGAGGAGCATCCCACAATAAAGCAATTTTACAAGTAAGTTGGGCTTACTGCAATTGGGATACCAAACCTTTGAGCTGTTGGGCCGGGAGGGGACTGATCTCAAGCAGAAGTTGGGGCCAAACAAATATTATTTTTTTACAAGTCCAGACATAGATGCAGTTGGAGGAATGATTGTTTTGGCCCTTAGCCAACAGTGTGAAACAGCAGAGAAACAGTTGTAGGTAGGCAGGGCTGGGTCAGCCTGTAGACCTAGGAATGTTCCCATTGAACACTCTCACAGAAAATCAGCATTGTTTAAATCAGGGATCAGTAACCTTTTTCAGCCGTGGGCCAGTCCACCGTCCCTCAGACTATGAGGGGGGCCAGACTATATTTTTTTTTGGGGGGGGGGAATGAATGAATTCCTATGCCCCACAAATAACCCAGAGAGAAAGGACACATTCTACTCATGTAAAAACACGCTGATTCCCGGACTGTTCGCGGGCCGGATTGCGAAGGCAGTTGGGCCACATCTGGCCCCTGGGCCTTAGGTTGCCTACCCCTGGCTTAAACAATGGTCTGAGCACAACCTGGAGATTAACTACCTGCATGTTAGAGATTCACGACTGTTTAATAATAATAATAATAAATAATAATAATAATAATAATAATAATAATAATAATAATATTTTTTATTTATATCCTGCCCTCCCCAGCCGAAGCCGGGCTCAGGGCGGCTAACAACAATAAAACAGTACAAAAGTACAGCATAAACAACAGTCTAAAATCATTCATTATAAAATTAATTAATTCAAGCCACTGGCAACCATTGGGCCAGAGCTCCGCGAAGGTGGAGGGAGTCAGGCTGTGCCCTGGCCAAGGCCTGGTGGAACAGCTCTGTCTTGCAGGCCCTGCGGAAAGATGTCAAGTCCCGCAGGGCCCTGGTCTCTTTTACTATTAGAAATGAAACTTAGAGGGTCATTGGAAATGTGAGGAGCACTGAAGGTTGGCACATGCCCCAGGAAGGTTACCCAGAATGGGATGCAGCCTTCAGGGCTGAAAAAGGTTCCATACCCCTGCTTTATTATTTTGAGGCAACACTCAAAAAAGCCGCAGAAACTTCCTTTGTCATGTGGCCTTCCAGATTCAGTGCCTGGGAACTTCAGCGACTAGTTATCCAAACCTGATTATCAGTACAAGGTCCCGTCTTGAAACAAACGCCGCTCTGTAAGCCTCGGCAATGGAAACAAAACTGCCTACTGTCTCTCTTTCGCACAGTCTGGTTGTAACAGATGCTTTTTATGCTTCTCAGGTCTTGTCTGATGTGTTCAGTGCTCCAGTTTACACTATTGACACTGCTAATTCAGCCTGTTTAGGATCTGCTTACAGAGCAATCCATTGTAAGTCAACCATAGAGTCCTCTAAGCAGCATGAACAGGATTCAAAAACTTTGTTTGGCAGTTGCTGCCTCCCGTGCTTGTCACAGGCCAATCCTCACTTGTCTACCCCACTTGCTCTTTCCCAAGGCTCTCTTGAGTCAGGGTTATTGAATTTGCTGTGTAGGAATAGGAGAAGAGCTCTGTTGGATCAGGCTAAAGTCCTGCCTAGTCTAGCATCCTGTTTCCCACAATGGCCAGCTAGATGCCTCGGGGAGGCCACAGGCAGGGGCACGAAAGCACCTTCCCTGTCTTGTCCCCCAGCTACTGATATTCACTTAGCTACTGCCTTGGGCAGGGACGCGGGTGGCGCTGTGGGTTAAACCACAGAGCCTAGGACTTGCCAATCAGAAGGTTGGCGGTTCGAATCCCCGCGACGGGGTGAGCTTCCGTTGCTGTGGGTCCCTGCTCCTGCCAACCTAGCAGTTCGAAAGCACGTCAAAGTACAAGCAGATAAATAGGTACCACTCCAGCGGGAAGGTAAACGGCGTTTCTGTGCACTGCTCTGGTTCGCCAGAAGCGGCTTAGTCATGCTGGCCACATGACCTGGAAGCTGTACGCCGGCTCCCTCGGCCAATAAAGCGAGATGAGCGCCGCAACCCCGGAGTCGTCCACGACTGGACCTAATGGTCAGGGGTCCCTTTACCTTACTGGTTCCCTTGTTCCATCAAGTGCAAGGATTTGCTCAGCGGAACTCTCACACACCTCTGCTTGTGCACGCCCTGCACTCTCCATAGATCTGCGCCAGAGGTGTGGTGGAACCCCTAGAACAGATTTAGTTGGGTGGGGGGAGTTCTACTGAGCAAATGGAAACCCTTGTGCTTACGGAATGGGGGACTTAGTGTTACGTTGGATTCCATCCTCTGAATTTAGAAGATCTAATTAGCTGCCATTTGGCTAATAGTCACTGGCAGACCTCTCCTCCATGAACATATCTACCCCCATTTTATAAGGCTGTTTGGACTTTTCTCCCCTCTGCTCAGGGCAAGATGGTTCCTAAGTAGTCATATGGAGCCTGTTGGGTAAGGGAGGTGCCACTTCAGTTGGAACCAGAAGGAGCTGGATGGTAGGCGGCTCACCAGGTTGTTCTCTTTTTCTCCTTTCTCTGTGTCTGCCCTCTAGCCACTACAGGAAGGGGTCAGCAAACCTTTTCAGCAGGGGGCTGGTCCACTGTCCCTCAGACCATGTTCGGGGCAGGACTATATTTTGGAAAAAAATATGAACGAATTCCTATGCCCCACAAATAATCCAGAGATGCATTTTAAATAAAAGCACACATTCTACTCTTGTAAAAACACCAGGCAGGCCCCACAAATAACTCAGAGATGCATTTTAGTTAAAGGACACATTCTACTCATGTAAAAACACGCTGATTCCTGGACCGTCCGTGGGCCGGATTTGGAAGGCGATTGGGCTGGATCTGGCCCCCGGGCCTTAGTTTGCCTACCCATGCACTACAGTGTACCTGACAAAAAACCCAACTTCTGTAATATGCCCCAGTCTTAGAAGCACAAGAGGTAATATGATGCAAGGCAGAAGCAAGCAGTTTGTTAAATGTGCATGACATCCTGGAAGTGTATTCTGTCACATGGAGGAGCGGGGGTCATTGCAGGAGGGAAACATGAAGTCCTGCCCATATAGTGGTGGAACCAAGATTGAATAAACAATAAGTATAAAATTTTGAGACCCAACAGACACTCATGTGCTGTTCAAGTTCACATGATGTGTTTACTCTTCCCAGGAGGAAGGTTCCTAGACCACTGCAGTTCAAACCCTTTGTAGATAATATCATTCTATAAAGAGACACTGGCATGGTGGCCTGTGCGGTAAGTGAGTTTTGCAGGAGATAGTTCACTTTCTTTTTCAGGTCACAAATGAACTACATGGGTGTTAGTAAAACACATACAATAACAGAGTCTTGAGACACCTTAAAGCAGTGATGGCCATACTTGGCCCTTCGGCTGCTTTGGGATTACAACTCCCACCATCCCTAGCTAACAGGACCAGTGGTCAGGGATGATGGGAATTGTAGTCCCAAAACAACTGGAGGGCCAAGTTTGGCCATCGCTGCCTTAAAGTCTATCACAATGTCCACCCAAACATTTGCCATGCAGAATCCGAATCTGTTAATCCTAAAGTACCAAAAGACTCTTTGTGGGTGTGTTTGCTTTAACAGACCAGCGCAGGTATGTGTGGACAGACAAGCTAGCAAAAATATTGGTAAAACTGAGATAATATTTTTTCCCCCTTGCCCCCAAATCTCTTCCTTTTTGCAGCTAACTCTTCCTTTTTTAAGTCATGCTTTGTCCTTGAATTTATTACTTCTCCATATTTTCCCATCTATTTGCTGCTTTATTGGCGTTCCTCAATGATTACTGATACTGTTGAACTTGCAACTCTGTGGCTAGCTTTGCCCTCCATGGGACAAATTGAATGACTGACATAAACTCAATCTCCGAGACCCTGCCTGCCCAGGCCCAAGTGCATTGGAATGTAAGATCTTTAGCCTTTATCCTTCACTTCTGAATGCTGACCTGACCAAGGAAGATCAATGCAATGTATTAATTTGCCAAGGAGTCCAGGCACATCCCTCATCTTGTTTCTGCTCATTGATCAGGTCTGTGATCCTCATTGCAGGACTCGTGGCAGAGACAAGCGTGTCCTTGACTGATGTTGTGAAATTAGCACCAGAGCCCAGATTAGTTGCTACTCCGACAGCTGGCATGGCTCAGGTGAGGTGGCTTCAGGCAATTTTATTGGTTGGCTTCCCCCCTCCCCCTTTTTTTGTTTCCTTCTGCTTTAAAAATAGATTGGCCGATAATTAAAATGTTTATAGAGGGGAGAGAACTTATTACGGGAAGAATCGCTTTTTTTGGGTGTACTGCAGATCAGTATTATAGGGTGAATCTGAGCTAGTCATTTTCAGGTCTCCTTTGTTTAAGGAATATGTTCGGGGTTGAGTGTTTGCCTTGGAATCGCCAGAGTTCCCTGAAAAGGGGGAATGACCAGTTTTAAGTGTATTGTATGAATGGCAAACTTCTACCTTCAGGTACCCATATTTTTCGCTCTATAAGATGCACCAGACCACAACACGCACCTAGTTTTTGGAGGAGGAAAACAAGAGGGAAAAAAATATTCTGAATCTCAGAAGCCAGAACAGCAAAAGGAATCGCTACGCAGTGAAAGCAGCAATCCCTCTTGCTGTTCTGGCTTCTGGGATAGCTGCGCAGCCTGCATTCGCTCCATAAGACGCACGCACATTTCCCCTTACTTTTTAGGAAGTAAGTCTTATAGAGCAAAAAATACGGTAACTCTTTCTGGATAAAACTGAATGGAGATGAATCTCTGCACATTACAAAGGATTTGGGTGCATGTTGGACTGTGTGAATTCAGTAGAGCTCAAACCTAACCATCTCCTGTGGTTGTGCATTTCAGAAGAAGGGAGAGTTGGTTGTACTGGGTAAGTTGTTTTTTCAACTAAACTTGCCCACCGCTACTGATTTTCACTGAAGATGCTGCACAAACTTCTCTTGGATACTGGGTTCCTGTTATGGTAAAGCTCTATGGCCACATATGCCTCTGTAGTTCCCTGTTGTGCATTGAACTACCTTGATGTTGGGATGCCCAACTTGCTGTGTTGCATTAGTAAATCAGTGCCATGTTACCATCGGTGGAAGGTGTCTTAGATGGGATCAGCCATGAGTGTAGAGATGTCAAGGGTTTGGAGCTGTTAATTAAGCCCTTGGGGGGCTATCCACCTCCTCCTGAGAATTTTAACATGCACTGTAGCAGCAAGTATTAGCAACAACAACAAAAGTAATTATGCCAAGCATGTTACAAGTCACTGGCAGAGAGTAGCTTGCTGCTGATGGGAACGAGCTATCCAAGCCTAGCATGGCTGGACAAATTCCCACGATTGCAGCCCCTACGCTTTGGAGCCACTCCTCTTGACCTGCCTTTCTGTGTAGTAAACACATCATGTGTTTACTCTTCCCAGGAGGAAGGTTCCTAGACCACTGCAGTTCAAACCCTTTGTAGATAATATCATTCTTATAAAGAGACACTGGCATGGTGGCCTGTGTGGTAAGTGAGTTTTGCAGGAGATAGTCCACTTTCTCTTTCAGGTCCCAAATGAACTACATGGGTGTGAGTAAAACACACACAATAACAGAGTCTTGAGACACCTTAAAGCAGTGATGGTCAAACTTGGCCCTCCAACTGTTTTAGGACTACAACTCCCATCATTCCTAGCTAACAGGACCAGTGGTCAGGGATGTTGGGAATTGTAGTCCCAAAACATCTGGAGGCCCAAGTTTGGCCATCACTGCCTTAAAGTCTATCACAATGTCCACCCAAACATTTGCCATGCAGAATCTGAATCTGTTAATCCTAAAGTGCCAAAAGACTCTTTGTGGGTGTGTTTGCTTTAAAAGGAAAGAGGAAAGGCACTGGAACTGACGTGATCTCTCTGTTTTCCAATACAGTCCAATCCCCTTGCAGTCAGATAGGTATTTCTGGTAGCAAACGGAGCATGTCCATTTTTGAGCAGCAACCAATGCCAGGCACTGACGACTTGTGCCATAGAGAAGCGGGGATGGAACAATTTGCCCTACATGCATCATGGCCTTACCATCCCAGAGGCAGATCTTAATTTAAGTAAGAAACTAAGCGTTGAAAACAAACCAACACGGGTTTGCTGCTGGCAGATTCACCCCTGTATAATGTATAGAGCAACTTACTCTATGTCCTAAGCTCATTATGCTGAGCTCTTCCCTGCCAGAAGTAGCCAATAATGTGGATTTAGGGGGCAGATAAATGCACAGGACACAGGGTAATTTGTACTATACATTACAGAGAGGTGCAGAATTGCCATTCTTGGTACAGACCCATGCTTTCTCATAGCATGTAGTTTTCTCCTTTTCCCTGTCCCCCCCCTGTGGGTTTGGGGGGGCCTTGATGTCCTCAGACCAGATCTTTACTAAAAATGCATTCTCCCTGCCCCCCCCAAACACTTCCCTTCCCATTTTAGAAATCTATACAATTCTGCTTGTTGACAGCATGGCTTCCTGTGTGAGCTTCATGGCTGCAAAACCACAAAAGCCAGAGGGCCTGTCAGTAATATAGTGTGCTAGCATGAAAAGTGCAGGAGAAGTTCATAATCTGATGAGTCAGTTTGGTTCTGTTTTTAACAGGGCTGCTTCTCTCTGTCCATCTGATTTCATTCTGTCGAGTTTAGCAGCTTTCACTTAAGTGATGGTTCTTTTTATAAACTTCAAAGTCAACCTGAGGTTAAGCGCTGTCTTCCTGGGGAATTCTCTGCAAAGCAACCTGCCTAACCTCATGTGAAGTTGTCTTGATCACAACCCTACGTTTTCTTTTTTTGGAGGGTATGAAATTTGTATCTTTGCCATGTGAAGAAATGCAAGCAACCGTTTTAGAAAAACCACACACACGTGGATGGGCATGCGCACAAACAAAACCCTTCGCAGGGGATTAAGTATGTGTCTCCCTACGCACATTCACAGATGCATGTAAATCAAATGATTACTCAATGCTGTTGAATGAGCAGACTGACTCCACTGAAAAGTGTTGCCTTTGGAGCCGAATTTGGAATGGATGGGGAAGTGCTTTCTGTTGTGCAGATACAGGCTCCTGGTTTGAAGCCTTGAACTCGGGTGAGGCATGGATTCCAGTTTTTTTCCTTCAGCAGCACCAAGACCATTTGTCAAAATAGAGGAGGACAAGCCATTCCCATTGGGATGCCAGCACCAGAGAGCTCAGTCCTCTCTGTCCCGTGCATCAGAACCCCAGATTGCCAGTCCAATAACATGGCCTGCTATCCAAGGTCTGCTGCACTCCTATAGTCTTAGGAACTAGAAAGAAGCCACTCTTCACTTCCAGGTTGCAAGCCTGAATGCAGCCTGCTTCGTCTGCTCTAGGTACTTGGCATCTGTCTAGCAGCTGTTGGCACACAGCAGTCTGGTACCTCAATCACACATATAAGTCACCGCCCGATACTACGGACATCAAGTGATGAACATCCATGTGTGACAAGCTCTCTTCACACCGGGTTGTTTCACATAAAGCCCACATATAGATGGGGGATGTCCTGAAGACATTGTGGACCCAGATGTTTGCGTTCATCAAATGTAAATATGCACCCAAGGTTTATTTCAGCACTGAAGTTGCTCCAAGGAATGCAGGCTAGCATTGTACCATTTGCCCAGTGAAGCTGCCTTGCCTCTTTTCACTTGCCAAACCAGCTCACAGACTGCTTTTTAAAATCCCCAGCGTTAGCAAAAACAAATAAGTGACAACACAGGTATTAGACAATCCTGAAGCAAAAGAGAAAGAGAAAACAATTACACCCATGAGTAGATATCAAGACTAATTTTATGAATGCTCCGTTGCGTTGCCTACATTTTAATAATAGGAGTGAGTGCAACGAAACTGAAGCACGCTGCCCTGTATCCCTTCTTGGAGACAGCGACGACATGCCTCATTGCACGGAAAACCTTGCTTCTTGTACCTCCTGACAGATTTGCAAGTCATGTTCCACTGAGCCACTGAATAGGAAACAATGCAAGTGGGGTTGTGTGGGCTGGTTATGTTCTGGGTTTTCAAAAGGGAAATGGATTAATAATTCTTGGGTAGTGTCAGTGTGCTCTCGTGTGTGAAGTTTTCGAGTTGATTCTGGTTTCAAGTCCATCTAGTGAGCCATCTAAGTGTGTGTGTGTGTGTGTGTCTTAGAGAGACAGAATGGTCTGCAGGGTCTCCCATTGCTTCTGTTGAAATACCAGTAACATTTGGCTTCTCTCCAAAATTTTCCATCCCTGCTGTTCACTACTAGATCTCTGTAACTAAGAATTAATGCATGAGCTTCCTTCCTTCCTACTCTTTCCCAATCAGAGGCTGAAGAGAAGGATAAAAATGTGAATGCTAGTAATAATAATAATAATAATAATAATAATAATAATATTATTTAGATTGTAAAGAGGGCATGTGTTTTCATTTTATGATTATTTTTACAGCATCTAGATTCTATTTAAAATTATATGGTAGAAGGCAAGGGAGAGTAGAGAGAGAGAGAGAGAGAGAAGTGAGAGTTCTTTTTCCATTAAACTTATTTTATTACAGTACTAGCTTATGCTGCAGTTCTTGTTTTGTAACCGAGGCTTGAGGCCCGTTGCTCAGATTTTGCTTTAGTGTTTATGCTACAATTCGCTCAATATTAGCCTTGGAGTTGGCTTCTGGTTCTTGGGTGATGAAAAATCAGGGTGCCCCCCCCAAAAGCCTTCTTTTCTGGTATTCACCTGTTTAATTGCCAAACAAAGGAATACAGTGGTGCCCCGCAAGACAAATGCCTCGCAAGACGAAAAACTCACTAGACGAAAGGGTTTTCCGTTTTTTGAGTCGTTCCGCAAGACGAATTTCCCTATGGGCTTGCTTCGCAAGACGAAACGTCTTGCGAGTTCTTGCGAGTTTGTTTCCTTTTTCTTAAAGCCGCTAAGCCGTTAATAGCCGCTAAGCCGTTAATAGCCGTTAATAGCCGCTAAGCCGCTAAGCCGTTAATAGCCGCTAATCCGCTAAGCCGTTAATAGCCACTAAGCCGCTAATAGCTGTGCTTCGCAAGACGAAAAAACCACAAGACGAAGAGACTCGCGGAACGAATTAATTTCGTCTTGCGAGGCACCACTGTACCTTAGAAAATGATAGCAGAAGGTGAACAGGT